TATTAGCAAAGTGCAAATTTTCTATGGTGGAGCACAAAATTTTCCAAGTGCCATGGGTCATTGCACTTTTATCTAGGTCATTTTTGGGAGGTTATGGTACAATGGGTGGTACTCAACAAAGGCTCCACTTCCCATGTACAGCAGTTCATGTAAATGCACTTCAAATTAAAGAAAATGCCAGTATTTAAAGTGGCACACTGAAACAGCACTCTGTCTCAGACTCTGTAATATGAAACTCATGTGCATATATATATGGGTTTGCAAGTTATGAAAAAGCTTACCAAACTTTGGATCTAGGCAGGTTTTTTGTACCAAAGTATTGCTGTAAATAGTAAGCATCGTACGCGATTAGCCCAAAGTTACCAACAAGTCACTTAATGAGAGTGCGTAGTTTCACAAAATAAGTTCGGAGCTGACCAGAGAAAAATGGAACACAAAAAATGCTAATGAATGTGCCACAGACGGCCACCTACTCACGCTTCACCACGGTCACGCTACTCACGCTCCACCTGGTAACTGGTTTTGAAAACAGCCAATCCTTGCCCTCAACCTTCCAACTCCCGGACAACACACGAGGCCCCGCACGTCCCAGCCAACTAATGAGACAGGCAGCATTCTCAACCGATTTACCGAGCCAGCGCAAGTACAATACCTGACAGACCCGTGCAGGCCGGCCGGCCGGGTCTAAGTCAGTCACTCCGCTGACTCCGGTGGATAATACAATGTATTAATGGATTTTGGTGCGCTTTAACTGATATTGCAAAGTATGATAATTTTTGTTTCAATTCATAGATGTTTTTGTCCCAATAAATCCCTTTCCTTAATTTGCGAGGCCAAAGTTATGGATTCACGTTACTCTGGTCTCCTGGTGTTTGTGTGGGAGTGAGATGGCTGGGTCTGAACAGTCCTTTGGCTATTTACATGAACATTTTTCGATTTAAAAGGAATTATAAAGCTTGAATTCCCAGCTTTAATTTCAAACCCTTAAATGACTACTTTAACTTGGTTTAAATCCCCAGCTGCCTTTACATTTTTGTACTCCGGACACCAGCGAGTGGCCAAAAATCCAGCCGCGGGGCGGTTCTGGACGAGTACAAAAAGTCGTTCATAACCGTGATGCCCATCTGTGTACAGCTTCCCTCGAAATGTTTTCAAACCTGTTAAGACATGAGCGCGAGGCTGTATATTTGTGCTCTTGAGAAACCAGTCACAAGGAGACGAATTATTCAAACCAATTGAGAGAGTTTCGCTATGTTCAGCCTCCAACCTGCGCTGGGAGGCGGGCGCAAGTCACTGAAAAGTTGAGACGTTTCCGACGCTTAATTGCGAGTGAATTTCCTATTTGCATTTCCATGACGGAGTAGTGGAGCGTGAGTAGGTGGCCGCACGTGGTAGGTGCTTTGGTGTGCGGTACTTGTCACCGTTCATTGCATCCTAGGCAGTTAACCTGGTTATTGATCAATGGTAGGTTAAATCATGTTCAGTTCTGGGTTGGTCCGCACGGGGCGGAATAAAGAGCGAGCTTTGCTAATTTACAGACCTGGTGCGATTCTGCTGCTCGTTTCTCATTTACCGGCATTGGTCAAAGACGATCCTATTCAACATTCACATACTTTATTTTTCACATTTCCATACATAATTTGTCATATACGTAGGTGGCAACACAGGCTGCCTGCTATTGAGCATCTAAGTTTGGTGGAGAGCAAGATTTGTGCTCTTGCAGTTATCACTGCGTGGCTCATGATGGAAGCAGCAAGTCCCAAGCTGTTTCACCTTCTGGCTTTGTTTTGTCCTGAAACAGAGAGGTAAAATGAGTTTTTCCGAAACTGTTTTTGTAGCATTATGGTGGAGTACAAAATATTTCACTTAACCCAGTCACAATCCTGGAGTACAAAATCTCCTGGTATACATTATTCCAGGAAACGTCGATTTTTCCAACACTGCCATTGAATGATGAAAGTTGTTTCATCTTGATATGAATTTGCTCATTTTACCTTTTTATGAACTTGCTTGTTTTACCTTTATATGGACCTGCTCCTCCAACCAGTGACCTCTTCAGGTGGCCAAAGGTCATGCCATGCTTTGAGTGAAGACATACACCAAATTTCTTCTCTCTTACAAACAATATTTTGCCATATCCTTTGTTGTTTCTTACGTGCTTTTTTATTGTGATTCACCTTGCCTGACAAATTGCAAGTCAAAGCCAGAGAAGGTTGCACTACATAACACACACAAACACAAAAAATAGAAAAATGAAGGCCAATGTGTGAGTACTATATGAAAGCAATTTGTGAAGCCCACTTTTCACATGCAAATCACGAATACACTTGTGTTGTTTATATGCATGTGGCACCCAACAGGTGTTAATACAATAGCTCCTTCAAGTAAAAAAAGAAACAAAATCATCCACCAGGGCTAGCAGACTATAACATGACTTGTTGATCTTGATCTGTGGCCCTTAACCTTCATTAGCAGCACCATATGCTACTGAGACGCAAAAGCATGACCTTTGGTTTCATGCTGGCTGTGAAGGTATACAGCCCTTTTTGTAGGTTTTGGAGGCCCCTGGAGCAGTTCAATAATTTTTTATCCTTAGGGCTGTTTTGTGACCTGCATTGGCATTGGCCATTGTGGCATGTACTGGCTTAGCAATTGTGGGCTGAACTTGATGTGGGCTGTCCATTGCTTTTCTTTATTTTTATCTCACAAAAAGGTAGTGGGACAGCTGAGTAGTATTAGTTAACCCTTTCCTAGGCAGTCTGTGCCTTTATAGGAAGCTAAGCTTCATGATGCTGTTTGGTGACCTTTGGTGGCATTTTCCAGATCAGCATGGCTGGTGACAGCCAGAGGTTTTGCCTCAAGTGGAATGACTTCAGGAACAGTGTGACTGCTGTGTTTGAGGACTTGCGGCAAGATGAGGAGCTCGTAGATATCACACTGTGCTGTGAAGGGAAGAAGGTGAAAGCTCACAGGATGATGCTGTCTGCCTGCAGCCCATATTTCCGAGAGCTTCTAAAGGTATGGCTGGCTGGATGGCCCAAGTGCTTGATATGCTCGTTGATGATGAATGATGAAAGGATTGTCACCCTTACTGTTTATTTTTTATATTTTGCACAGAAAAGCTCATCACATTGCTGCTTTCATTACACATTTTACCTTTATTATGTGCACGTCATCTGTATAATTACCTGAATATGCTAAGAACAAGGCTCAGTGTACACTGCAACTGAAATACTGGGCATTTTAATGCCTGTTCAATCTGCCCCTTTTTTCTTTGCAGAACAGCGGCAATTCAATAAGGCCCATCATGTAATGTTTCGTTTCCAACTAGTGACACAGGCAATAATTCTGCGTCCAGAAAGGTAGCATCTGTTAATGATGCGTTTTCCATTTCAGGAAAACCCGTGCCAGCACCCAGTGTTTTTCTTAAAAGACACCACTTACAGTGACCTGCGAGCAGTGATAGAATTTGTGTACAATGGTGAGGTGAATGTGACCCAGGGCCAGCTCAGCAGCTTCCTGAAGACCGCCGAAATGCTGCAAGTCAGGGGCCTCACCGGGGACGACGACAAGGTGAGTACTGGCTTGTCACGAGTTGTTGACATCTACCAACTTTTGGCTGCAATTTAACCGCATGTGCTGATTTCTGAAGAGCTCACCCTCCCCACGTGGCATGGTGATGTTCACAGGGTTAGCTCGTGAGCCGATGTAATATAAAAATTACCTGTGGTATTTGATGTAAGAAAACGTTAAGAGATGTTATCATCAATTATTCTTTTCAAAGCGCATCAGTGCACAATCCAGCGGACTGTAGAGAGTGGTTTTGCAAGATGAGGTAAACTGCAATCTCGTCCGCAATACCAGACCTCATCGCAACGTATTGTGACGTTGCTGGTGGGGCTCTAAAACAGTGATCTGTGATTGGCCCCGAGGATTCTGGAAGCAACATGGCGCGTTTCCTGCAATGTCTTTGGTAGCGCCAAGCATTGGCGCGACGAATTATGCCGGTAAAGTTAATCTACGCAACAGGAAGGCGTTCGATGCCTATGCTGATATTATTTCAAGAGAAAGTGTTATGACATGTTGGCTGCTATGCTTTGTGTAACGTTGGCTGACGATGCACAATAAAGAAAACAAAACATGCCCAATGAGAGCGAGTCGTGCAACTCACTGGAGGATGCCTTAATGATAGTCTTGAGGTGGCCACTTTATTTACATTGTTTTGATGTATATACCGGTAATGTGGTTATGCCGCACGTCTGGGAAACCAGTGGTACGGGGTTGGATTCCCTGCGGTGCCTGCCCTTCCTGCGAGAGTGGGAGATAGGCGACGCTGTGTTGCCTCAGCAGCTGAGTGCGTCGTAAAACCCCAGTGACGACGATGGGTGGAGGAAATGGCAGGTAAATCACCATTTGAATGTTGCAGATGTTCAGATGTTTCTGCGAATGGGGTAAACCGGAGCTGCTCTTGCCCTTCGTCCGTGCATTTGTTTTTGTCTAATGCTCGGTTCTCTTCACAGGAGCCAACGCCAGCTCCAGCTCCGCCTGCACCGCGCGTGCTGCCGCCTTCCTCGCGCACCTTCCCGAAGCGTCCGGCGCCGGCGCCGCTGTCCCGTGTGCCTGCTACGCCCACCAAGCGGCCGCTGCCAGCGGCAGCGCCGCTAACGAAGCGCGTGGCGACCGCTCTCGTCCCGGCACCGGCGCCGCCCGCCAACAGCTTCGCGGTCGCACCGGAGGTGGTGTCGGTCGACTCACCGCCCGAAGCGCCGCGGCCGCCCGCCTCGCCGGCCAGCAAGCGGCGCCGCCACTCTGGCTCGAGCGGCGGCGAGGGCCCGGCCACGCCAGCCGCCGCCGAGCCGGTCGCCTCGCCTGCCTCGGCCGTCGCCTCGCCGGCGGCAGCGCCCGCGGACGCGCCGCCGCCGCCGCCACCGCCACCGCCTCCGCCGCCGCCGGCGCCGCTGCCGGCCCCGCTGCCGGCGCCGCTGCCGCCGGTGCAGCCGTCACCTGCCGCCGGGCCGCCCGCGCCGACGTCGCTTGCGCAGGAGATAGTGCCGGTGCCGCCGACCGCGGCCGGATACGGACAGAGTGGCGTGGTGAAAGTGGAGAAGATAGACATTGCGGATGACGACGAGGGCCTGGCGGCGCTCGGTCAGGTGGTCGACTACGAGGGTAGCTACGACTCTGACCAGTCACTGGGCGCCATCCCCATCTCGGACCCCGGCCAAGGTCAGTCTCGGAGCGGGGCCGCGGTATGGCTGGACGCAAGCTTGTCACCAATTGCTGCTCATTTGTTACGCTCATATCTGGAGTGATGTTTAGAAATGGCGTGAATTTCAGGGCATAATCACTGGAGTAAGGGTAACATTTTAGGGCTTTTGAGTTGCTGTAAAGGACATGCATGTTTTAGGGCTGAGAAGCTGCAGCTGGCCTCCTGCCTTTCCTCAACTACGGAATATCATTCGGAGCACATACGGAATGAATATGAATATGCTGCTGGAGCGTTGGGAAAGCAGCAGGGAGCTGGACGGCAGGGTCTAATCCAGATACGTACGAATACAGACAAGCGTGCGTCGCACTTTGGAAAACTGAACGCTCCGGCTTACGACCTGCTCCGCGATTCCTTAGAATTGCGTCGATTCACGCTTTCGCTGTTTCAAACCGGTGCTGCCGACACAACAGTCAGTCTGCTGCATTGGATGCGGTCGGACAGACCCGTGGTGCAGCCGAACCGAGCTGTGACGAGCGTCGGGGTGGTTGTTGCAGGTGGGGCGATGTTCGCGGCAGGCACGTCGGAGGGCAGCGCCGGCACAGGTAGGTCTCCGTCCGCTCGCACCGGGAGAACACTGTCTGCTGTCGGGCTCGTTGCCAGCCAGGGGATGAGCCACGCAAACTCGAACGAAGCGATTGCAAGAGGCAGGCATACTCCGGGCTTTATTTGGGAGCGCTGGGAACGTCCCGATTCGCGTTGGTGCTGGCCAAGGGATCATAGATGTCGGCGCGCCCCAAAACATGGTATTGATACTGTGGTCCGCGGCGGCTTTTCGTTCATGTCGTCAAGGCAGTGCTACACAGAATTGATATTCCAGGCTTTGGCTGATCATAGGTCACAGTCATAGGTGGGAATGCTGGCTGGGTCATCCCCATATTTCACGTGCACCACAATGCCAGCGAAGAAAAGCTTTGCTGTGGGGTAAAGGCCTTTACGGGTAGCATACATTGCCCAATCCACTTCATACCCATCATTTCGTGTCCATACCCTTTCTATACTCATGCCTAATCTGTTGTGGTCGCACGTCGTTGTTGTGCTCGCATTTTCCTTTCGCATTTTCCGGCTCTGGTTATGAATTATGGAGAAGCTTCAGTAAAGTTTGACCCCGAACGTACGGTTTTGCGTTCATGATTGATGAAGCTAATTAGGCCAAAAAAGCACGAACGTCATCATTTTTCAAGTATATTTCGAAGCATCTACCCAGCTTTAGTAAACGTTCCACCCATGGCAGTACCTATGCCATTGATGGTCACCAAATCAGAGCCCAGCCCAGCCTGCTACCCATTCTATACCATATGGGCGCCCGGGGTTTACCCAACCCGCGTAGTCCTTTACTGTGGGACCTTCGATTCGCTTCATTTCGAGTAACATGAGACCTAAGGATATATGATGCGTACTTTCCACGACTCCCGTAGATTAAAGGGAATTGGACTACTGAAAGGTAATATTGTGGAAAGGTAATATTGTGGAAAAGGTAATATTGTGGAAAGGTGTGGCCTCATATATATTTGTCGCTGCCAACCGTTCTGAGTTGAACATCTGGTCAGTCTATCAGAAAATTGGCCCGGAAAAGCCGAAGGAAGAATACTTTCACCCTGTAGATGGTTAGGGTAAAAGTGCGATAATCAACGTTACGTTGTATTTAGTTTCCTTTCAACTCACAAAACTAGCTAACCTAAAACAGTTCTATCTAAACGTTATGGAAACTTCGTAAAAGATCGATCGTAAAAGACGTTGGTGGCGGGAGGTTGACAGATGTTCAGTAAGCTGCACTATGCTGCCGGAATGGATGTGATTCGTGGAGATTACATGGAATTGCGCCAGGCTGTATGTCTGCCTCCTTTGCTTTCCTTCTCAGTATCGATGTCCCACCTCAATGTGGACCGCTCTTATCGCCTTGCCGTGACGTTGATCACACAAGAAATTTAACGAATGAATAAAAAATCCTGAAAATTGCAACATTGAGGCCATTTTTGTGTCTGTCACCTGGTTTCCACTTTAATTATCCTGTTCGTTGACTGGCTCAGAACATGTCAAGAAATAGCTCAGTTCAGCTCGTGGATTTTCAAATGTAGTATTCTGCTGCGCCCTGCCCATAGGGTTTAGTCGGGTGGGGCTGACTTGCCGGAGGAATGTTGCTCAGATTGAGTTCGTGTGGGGCGGTGACTCAGCAGACAGTGTTCTCCCGTCATTCCATGTGTGGTTGTGGGGTGTGTGTACGCTTGTTTTTGTCGCTGCAACGCTCCCGACAGTTAACAACGTAACGGTAACGTTGCCTGGTAACGTAACGGTACACGATCGCGGCCAGACGTCGATAACGTAACTGGCGGGCCGTTCAGTGTCAGCGCGCTTCGTGGCGTTTCCGGCAGTGGCACAACGCGCGGCGCCGGCACCGATCTGCGTCGTGCTCTAGCTGCAGCCCTACGACTGTGGCTTGTGGAAATTTCGCGCTGCGCTGTGGGCAGTTTTGCGGTCGGCATTTTGAATGGTTTTGTATGATATTGCTCCATCGAGCGGTATTGTTAGAGCAGCCAGAGTACAGACGGTAGAATTGCACGAGACCCACGATGCGTCTGACACTGGATGCCTCGCGTTCGTCTCTGTTTGACTTTGTGGCCAGCTTTTGCTTTGTACAGTGCTACCGTGTGTCTTGAAACAAAACATGTGAAATTAAAACCGCAATTAACCCACTCTCACAAAACGGTAGGCAAAATTTAAATGCGGTGCATTGCAGTCAGCCAGTCCATCCCCTCCCGGCTAGGTTAAGATAGGGCAGCGTTAGGAGCGATAGAGCCCGTTAGGAACAGGCTAGGTGAGGCAGGCAGGGCCGGTTAGGACGCGCGTTTGGGCCGCTCGGCGTGGTGGGAGAGGGGAGATAGGCACCGCGCCGGCCGCGATGTGGCGCCCGCGCGTGCGCGGGTCGCGCCGCCACCGCCGCGGGCGGCGCCGCCACCGCCGCGGGCCGTGCCGCCACCGCCGCGGAGCCGAGCGTCGCCCGGCACTGCCAGACCGGCCCCTGCCCGCAGCCGCACAGGTGAGTCCAGCTGTCTTCTTTGTCACGGCGCCGTCCGCCGCAGGCCGCACTTCGCCATGCCCGGTTGGCGGGCGTGAAGAGCAGCCGGCTCGTGCTGGCCAGGCCCTGTGCGGGCTGCTGTCTCCTCTGGTGTCGTCATGCCGGGGGCCGCCTGCCGGCCGGTGTTGGAGAGTGCTGCAGGCGTGTTGTGGTTAGCGACATGCGTTAGGTAGGAACTACTGAGGCACTGGCCAGCCGCTGACAGCACATGATCATTGGCTGGTCCGGTAATGTAATATGTTTTGCTTTTGAAATCCTCTCGCGGTATGAATGCGTTGCTTATCTCTCAGTATAAATCAGTCAAACGATTGCTACATGTGGCGTTCGGTGTTAAAACCCACTTAAGATCTTCAGGGGATGGATACAGATATGGGGTTCCAGTAAAAGTTATCCAGTGAGGTATCCAGTGAGGTATCCAGTAAAAGTTACATGAAAAATGCAGCTGTCACAAATGTGTTCATTCCCCCATTAGATTGTACCGGGGTTAAGAGGGCGCGTTTTTGCAAATCATGGACCTGATAAAAAACTGGGCGATCTTTTTTATCGCAGGCACTAGTTTTACGTCTCCATTTAATCTCCACAACTTCAGGCAATTGACTCTTCCGTAGGTTATGTTGCTGCCTGACAGGGGCGGGCTAACGCCTTTGCCCATGTCACTTTATGTCCCATTGGGTTTGTCATCATGAGGCCATCCAGGTAAACTATAATACCCTCAGCATATAAATCGGGTTTTAAGCTACACATTGCCAGGGTGAAAGCCATTCGTTGGGAAACGTTATAACGGGGCCCACGTACTGGTATAAGGAAGGCGGGAGAATCATGATTTGTCGGCATTGAGGGGTCCCGAAAACCCTGCAGCTTCTATGTGCCAGGAGGCACTGGTTAAAGAATGCAGCTCTTGAATGTCACTCGTGGCCATGAGGTCGGCTAGCAGCGTCGAACCTTTCAAAACGCGTCGCAGTTTCTACCGGACAGCGCCTTACATCATTCTGAGCTCAAAATCCAGTCCATGTCGATCCGAGAATGAAAATTGTGCGTTTTTGGGTGCGAGCAAAGGTGACATAGGTGTTTCCTAAGCATAGGAAACTGGGAATAACCAAGGCGACCCCCTTTCTAAGGGAGATGAACGTAGCTTGTCGTTCATTTACCGGTCTGTTTCGTGATGCAGTTAGGAGGCATATTTCAACGTATTCGTCCCCAGCTTACCTTAGCTGACGCTCATCTGTCAATGGTAACTCGCTATAAAGCACTAGTAACTTGGGTTAACCCATTTGAACGTGGTGGATACCAAACGAGCACACAAAACAAACAACACCTCTCCAATTACCGTCAATAATTTCCATAAGGCATGTTAAGTCCGATGTAGCAGAGTACTATGTTATACCGGTAGTACTACAGAGTATTACCGGTATAACAGAGCACTTAAGACCAGTCCAGGCTCCGTCTAACTGCTTACGCACCAGACATCGACAATATGTAAAAAAACATTATCCATACCGTATAGTTAATGATCGCAGTTGACGGTGAATACGGACATGCTACTTACACCTTATGGTCGGTCATCAAGACCGAAGTTCCTGGTGGTGCTAGGTGGGGTCATCGCATTCGCATGTCGGTGTTTTCAGTTCCCCATTCGATTGCAGTTGATGTCTTCTGTTGGAACTGATGTAATTATGGTATTCGCAAATTTGTAATTTCAGTGTTGTGTTTGATGCAGTTAGTGTCACTGGCTGAAACCGAGGTCACATCTTTGCGATGCGAACATACCGGCGAATGGAGGCGAAACATGGCGTGACATCGGTTTTGAACTTGTTTCGGCTGTGTCTGCAACGTGACAAACGGAACAGGTGCTTTGCGAACAGTGACTGGTACGTAAGCCTTGGTTAGTTGCGCAAGTTTATTGTTACTGGTGATGCCGGATACCTCCTTACATGGAATGCACCTTAACGCTTTATCACTTCAGAGGTATGGGCGCCTTTGCTGCGATGTTCCCCGCTCGCATACTGAGCGTCTTTTGTTCCCTGTAATAGTAGTGACCGAACCCCGTTCAGCGTATATAAATATGGCGTTTGGATTGTCTTCTAGAAAAGGAGGTTTCAGTTTTGAGATTGCGTAGTCATGCTGCTCGTTACCAATATTTATGTGAATGCATCGAAACTAGAGCTGAGGGTTAGATTCACAGAATTCAAACATTGGAGTCTTGTAATCCTATAGTCTTAAAATGACGTTCCAAGCAAACTGAGATAAAATTCTGAAAGCTGCACCAGTATGGAATCCCAAACATACCATGGACAAACGATATATGTCCTTGCCAATGCCTCAGCTGGTTACGACCGCCTGCATCGCAACCCACCCACCCATGGCGGGGTGGGCTCTAGTCCAATCCGCCCACGCGTGGCGGGGTGGGTGCGAGTCTCTTTAGGCACTGTCTACTTGTCGTTAGCAGGTATGGCCCGCGGCCGGTGGCAG